CATAGATGTTCTTTCTGCTTTGGCATTCAAGACTTAGATTCCAAGAATAGCGCCAAGAAAACAGACAACACTAAAACTCCACATTGAAAGTTTGGAATTTCTGAACCTTAATTATGCCCTAGGATTTGGAAAAGTGTCTGGCCTTTAAGATTTTTGATCCAAAAATCCCGGATAATTATCTCTTAGTATAACAATTCCAAATTCCCAGACAATCTGGAAGCCGTAAATTGGCAGGTGAGATAGCAAAGGTTATAATTTTAATCGTTATTTTGCTATTTACAATTTTTTGCATTTGATTACTATTCTTTGTAGGAATCTTCGAATCATATCGTTAATGCTCATTTACATTCCAGACAATTAGATTTAACATAGCAAAATAACTAGGCATAGTGCATATAAGGCATTAATTATGCGTATTTACCATTATAAGAATAGTAAACATTAGGTTAAGAACTGCTATTTGTGATGTCATAAAATATCAAGAACAAGTGGGCTGTGTTTATCATCGAAAAAAGTAGTATTTGACACTCAAAACCAGCATATTTTTATTCAAAATATTGTTTTGCACAATAGCATAGATATACGTCAAAGCTGAAAAAATTGCAAACTTAATCTCTTTCGTATTGTCTATCTGTCTGGAAATGTTAATCATTTGATATAATAATAAGAAGTATTTATTGAGAAAATAGCAAGGTACGTCGGAAAAAACTTATTACCAAAAACTCGTTTTGATTAAGAATAAATATTGCGAGAGTATCAAGGAGTGTGAGTGAAAAAATTAGACCACTAAAAATATTATCATAATCATTTGGTAACTTATTTAGTGGTATCTATGATATTTCTATAATAGATATTAAATGAGATTACTATCAATCAATAACGTACTAATTATTGATTACAGTTGTTGTATTATATCGACATTATTGATTTTTGGCACCGGAAGAAAGCAATTTATTACGTCTAGAGGGGGTGGAGGAACCAAAAGGCTTTTTTGGCCCCCTTAATATCCCTGATCCAAATGCAATCTGCAATCTTCCACCCCCCTATGCGAAAAAAAAGCTTTCTACGATATCATTTTCACATATTTTTTGCAGAAAGATGTCTATCCATATAACGTCATTTTCATAGCGCTTAGTGCCTCTAATCTTTACGAAAGCATCACAGAATTGTGGTCAAATCAAAGCAGATAATGCTGAAAGAAGCTTAAAGTTCGAGAATCCGAGAGAAGATAAAACACAGTTTGCTTTGCAAGAAGTCTTGCAAAAAATTGAACTTAGTGGAGGCGTAGAAAATTCTTGTATAATGGATTCTAAGGTACTTTCGGAGATTGAGGTGTAATTTGTTAGAAATAATAAAAGGGAAGGGAGGGAATCTGACTGCATACTAATTTTAGCCATGAGAAAGTTGTCTAACCCCCAGAATAGCGAGAAAAAGTGCAAAGTGTTACAACAATATTTTAGGGTCATTCTCTTTTATAACAAAGCGATAGCTTGAAATAACAATTAATTGCGAATAGAAGTGTCAAGTATGCTGAATTGCAGAGGACCAAAAAGGTCATAAATATCTCAATTAAACCTAAAAATCTTCGAAGCATCTGCAATTAGAGATTCTTCCAAAAGCTCAAAATGTATAATATAATAGCTTTCATCAAGGCAAGCACACAACACGTGAAGAAAGTTTTCGAAAAGGTGATAATGCTGCTTTCGGTGAATAGCTTAGCGTTACCGTAATCCACTAGCGTTACCGTAACCCAGCCGGTAGTTATGTTGGGGACCAGTTTGTATGCAAATTTATATAAATCACATCTGGAAAATATAACACAAATATAACAAGTTTGACCTCAGACTGTACCATTACTGTGCTTCTAACTTATATTGAACCGTACAACTACCGTATGCCTTTTGTAACTGAATTGAGTAGGCAAAAATTGCAAGTTTTGCTGTAATTGTGGTACAGTCTAAGGTAGTGGTACAACTTGAGGCCAACCTTATAATATTTGTCTCTTATATGCTCTGTAAAAGCATATATAATTATGTTTATATTGCTTCTATGTAGATCCACAATTTTTGCCAACTTTTATTCTGATTAAAATCCGGTTATTATCTTTAAGTAACATGAACCCCTAAACAAATTATTCATAATGCCTATAACAGGTGAATTTAACCATGGCCTTGCATCAAAATTATCAAATTCCTCTCTTCTGTTTCACCACGAAACGTTTTATTTTACTGTCTTTTGTGTTACTCATGACCATTTAACCGAGCGTAAGGACAATTAGGGTGTGGTAAGTGCAATTGTAAACTTGGTGAGGTATGCCGTCGGTCTAAAATCTTTCCATTTTACGCGTATATTTTTTAACTGCAAATAATTGCATGTTTTCTGCAATTTAGATCTGGTTTTTTCAGGCACTCGTGGACCACGTCTAATCGCATTTTTCACCATTTTTAGCGATTGCAAAGGCGTCAATCATTGACTAGACATACGAAGAGTCACATCACAAGCCAGTGATAAAAATAAACCGAAAATAAACCTATTTGCTTCAGCTTTATTGTGTTTACAGCAAAAATGATGGGGATACGAGACATATAATAACGCAGGCGTTACACTCTTGATCGGAATTCGAGCAGGGTAAAGCTACTTTGGGGCGATAAACCGTCTCATAGTTAGGATTTATGAGCAGTAGTAATCTTGCTTTGAGTGTTTATAAGCCGATGTTAATGCATAGAGTAATAAACAGTTAATGGCAGATGTCTCAAGAATAACCGTACTACGAAAATCGGGCCATAGGTGTGCTAACAATGATATTATTAAGAAATTTGAAAAAAAATTACTTTGGGCATGTAAATGATGAAAATAGGCCTTAGGGAAGTCTTGATCAAGCCAAGCTGCAGCTCGATTCATTTGATGACTAAAAGACTCGGCTTTGGACTCTCGCCCAATACCGTAACCTCTCCGGGCAATCGTAACCCTTGAGTACGGTCTGGGCGAGAGTTTAGGGTTTGATTTCTCATCCACCAATGAACTTTAGGAAGTGTGACTTGATCAATGGCCTTATTAAGGCCTCCCAATCAGCTTCCATATAAGAATCCCGGCCACCTAGCTTTCCGTAAACTTTACCTCTGAGGGATTGGGTAACTGAACCGAACATATTGGTCATACATGATAGGAAAGTGGGGGGGGGACGAGGGGGCCTGGAATTGCTCAGTTCTATTTTTAGAGTTTTAACTGTAACTTGCTGACTAGCTGCGCATGTCTCATACTTTCTTTCTGTATTCGAAGAAATTCCTTACATGCCAAGGTGTGATGTCATTATTGTTTGTGAAGATGTGCACAGAAGTTTTTTACCAGACACTTTTCTTGATTTCTCACATATATGTTACTCCAGCTTTTTTTTTTAGCGTCATGCTTTTGTCTCTTCCAATGCTTTCCCTGGTTCGTAATTTGATGTTTTTTAGAGAATAATGTCAAATAATTCATTGAAATGTTGCTTTATGTGAAGCAATTTGCAATTCGTCTCGCCGATTGCTGAATACTAATTTTTTCCTTACCTACTGACCACCTGCTAAACATTTGTTCGCAACAAAAAGGTCATTTGGGTAATGACTATCCTAATAAGATTGATTGCCTCAAAAATGGATCAAAACTAGAAAAAAGAACGAGAATTGAGGAATGAGAAAAAAGATCCCTCGAGTAGTGAGACGAACACTTCACAGAAATAAGATTGGCATAATAATCCACAAACAGATATCGGCACTAATGTTCTTGAGCCTTTCTTGAGCCTTTTCTCGATATCCACACCACGATCTTGGGATAAGAAACTCAAGATGATTGCTTTCTGTTTGTTCTGTCATAACTCCCCACTCTAATAAATTTGTCATTTGTATTCAAAGAGACGATCGGATTGGAAAGTGTAAGCCTTGTGAAGTAAAAATCTTCAAAGGGCATATCAAGACGATCTCTAAGGGAGTGAGGCCGAATTGAGGAGGAACTTTTGAGGATCTTTGTTTCAAGAACATCGAGGTGATTTGTGATTCGGCGAAAATGGAAACGAAAAAAAAGGAAAGAGGTAAAGAAGGTAGTTTTATGAAGATACGCAGATACAGCTGACGTGATTATCTGAACCAAAGAAACGATGAACTCCAAATGTATATTTGGGAAGATTACCAAAAGAGTAAAGAAGAAAGAGGCTCCTAAGGAAAGTGAAGACATTTGGATGATAAAATTGAGCAAAAATTTCAAAATAAAGCTTACTCGATGTCGGCAAATATTGTGCCTGACCGTGGTGCCAAAACGGAAGCGGTAATTCAGTTCGAAAAAAAAATTAGTGGTACGGTTAGTCCAGGGTTACTATATCATACTCCACCAAAATGACCAAGAAAATATGAGAGTTCAATTGACCTAGAGCCTGAAAAGGTTTGGTCTATTATCTTAGAATTTGCTTCATTTAGAGCCTTCAAAGATTTTGATCCGTTCGTTCATTTTGAATTCTATCGGTCACAATTTGAATGGTTTATGTTCTGCTTTTTCAATAGGAACTTGAGCAGAAGCAAGATTTTTTTGGACTTCTAACCAATGCATTTTTATAAGATCATGTTCAAGTCTCCAACTGTACTTTTAAAATCTTTCATACTTCTTAAAAGATGAGTAAGGGATTTGATTACCCTTTTACTATCCATTTCCGGTCATTTAGGACAAACTTCCAGTTTACCGTCAACGCCCATATTTCCAAAATCTCCGTGGAAACAGTGTACCCACATAAAATCCGGTTACTCATGTTGAAGTAATGTCGTGTGATTACACAAAGAAATTATTATTAACTTATTTATTATTGTTTTCTTTCTTTGAGAAAGAGTGTATGAGACAAACACAACATAAAGCAAATTGAGTGGTACTCGTCGTCAATGAGATCACAGAACAGGCGATAAGAAGGAGAAGAGGAGATGAACAAGAAGATGAATATCTATTTGTTGTGAAAAAAGCAAGGAAAAAATAGCGGGGGGGGGGCTTATATATAGATACAGATATACACAGTAAGCATTTCCCTTTAGGAACAACTTTAAGGGTAATTAAAGGGAATAACATGAAAAGCGTCAACATATCAACACATATACAGTTTCACTCCTCTACTAAGGTATGATCTACTGATCTATCTACTGATCTAGTGCATCTACACTATGTACATTTGGTACGTACCAAATAAATTACGCCAATTGGAGGGGCATTGTCCTGGAGAGTAATCGCATTGGTAATTGTAGTAGTGTTGAAGGTGTTTGGAATGTTCGTCGTGAAGATGAAGAAGAGTGGACAACTGGTTGACGACGTGATTGCGGTCGAACTGTGGAATATGACGACTTCGGTTGTTCAGTGGCTTGTTCAACGACTGCCGTTCGGCTCAACGTCGGGAATGTGGGGCAAAAGTTGAATTGTGAACGGAGCACTGAAAAAATAAAAGAATAAGTATTATGTGCAGGAATACTTAACAAAAAAGTAGAAAAGAAAAGGAAAGGTAGAAAATGTGAAAAGAGAGAAAATGTAGAAATTAGAAACCTGAAGGGCTAGGAGCAACAGCAGCAGAGACCTCTTGTCGTTGAATTAATGAAAGTTGCGGAATACGCAAGTGTAGAATTGGTCGATGTGGTCGTTCAGTGGCGGCCACACATTGCACCGGAAAATGATCAACGGGAACTTCGAAGAGCATTTTTCAGCGACTGTTTTGCTTGGAGCAAGTAGTAGTGATTAGGGCACGTTTGTTTAGTAGTGCTTTTAGTGCAGTTGTAGCTGTGAGTAGACGGACTAATTGTTCGTTCACACACACTGTAAGCTATGTGTTCGCCGCCGCTTATATACACCCGACGGCCACACCCCTTTAAAGAGCCGCGCCCCGCCCCGACGCGATGCCCCGGCGGCGTCCAACCCCGCCGCCGCCGTCGGCGATTATGAGGGGTAGGAGCCCCGTGTTGCGGAGCGGAATGTGTTCTACGGATGATTCATGACCTGTCAATCAAGTTATTCTCTTTTGTGATTATAATGTCTTTACCAAACAGAGATCTGTGTGCACCGAATTTAGTGTAAAATTGCGTAAGAAAACGGTAGTTCTGTGTGCAAAAGGTGATCGTTTCTATGTAAGGTCATGAGAACGTGCAAATAGTGACATGAGGTTTTCATACTTCTTCTTAATTGCTATTTTTAGAATTTTGAACTAATATCGTAATTCTACAGTCTTTCTCTGACCAAGTGAGACAGTTTTCTAAGTTTTATAGGAGTCGTAGGGAAAGGTAGCTCTTTAAGCCTACCGTAAACCTACAGTAGTCCTTCCTAGTTTTCCTACTTGCAGTTTAACACTATGCATAAATGGAGCTACTTTGGGTCTCAATTTTATTTTTCTTCATGATTTTAGAGTACCGACTACCGTAACCGCATAAATATAATTTTTATGCGCAGCTCACTTATCACTCCCTTAGTTTGAGCTCCATAGAACTGGTGATCAAAAATTTTATAGTCGAAAATCCAAATCTAGTTTCATGGTATTTTTCCGGTAACATTATTCTAAGTGACGGTAATGGATATCTCAAAATAGCAGCTAATTTTGTTCGGAAAAAGGTCTGTGTTACTTAGAGAATTCTCACATTTAGACCCCACTTCCTTCCGGTACCCTTTAGCAGAGTGGACAAAAACGATCGCTAATTTACGCATTTCCTCTTCACCCCCACAAGTGAATTTAGATGTTACCATAAACGTAAAAAATAAAGTTATAGTCACAGTTATAAGCGAACGACTGTAGCCTATAGAGAATGAACCTCGAAAATTGAGTAGTTTTTATTTTCACCATTTATTATTTTCGTATTGTTGTATATGTTAAAAGTAAGGAACAATATATGAAATAGATTATGCCTTTTCTTTTAAAAAATAACCGAATTTCTAGAACTAAAAATGGCTTTCTCGTATTGCCTACAAAGTCTATCAAGTTTTTTATACTCTACAAACTCTTCTGACCACAAAATAACTTTTATAAGAAGTCCTATGCAAAACTAAAGTTGAACAAGCAGTCCCACAAAACGCATAGACAGGGCCCGGCGGGGGTGGCGCTTTCACAAGCTGGATATCGTTTTTGGCCCGAAAAAGCAAAGGGGAAGTCGTATTTTGGGGTCCGGGGAGGAGCCCCGGACCCTAAAACACGATTTCCCCTTTGTTTACCGATAAACAATGCACATATCATTCTTTATTCATCATTCCTTGTTGATGCTACTGTCCTATGAACTTAGAATCCAGCAATGTGAAGATTCTGTGCTCCGATCGCTAGCCTGCCCGCAGGCGGGAATTCAAATCGCAATTCTTGTAAGAGGAAAATAACAAAATAGGCTCGTTTTCAATGCACAAGTAACGATATGGCACCAAATTTGCTGTGTAGTTGGAGGACCATGAGCACAAAAAAAGTATGAAGAATTATGAGAAACTTATGTGAATTTGAAAAATGGTAAGTGTTTTTCGAAATTAGGTGGCTCCCGCGCCACCTGGGAGCCACCTGGGGTGGCTCCCTGCTTCCCTTCACATAATTTCCCGGATTTCTTTACATAAATGTGGACTAGATCGAGAGTATTACTATATGTTCAAATCCGCTTCCAAAACCACCAAGGCTCCGCTTCGCTACAGCCCCGAATAGGGTTCTCAGCGTTATGATCGGCCTCGGAAAGCGCGCTCCAATCGCAATCGGTTATTGTAAATTGTAAAGTTTCGCGGCTGACTAATAAATAAGTAGTATCTTAGATATATAAAACGTCAAAGTTTGTGCAAATCTTGACCCTATGTTTTTTTATAGATTCCTTTGCGGATGAACCCATTGAGCTGAAACCTTGATGACCCGGGCTGGACCAGGAAAGCCAGGTAGTACTACTATAATAAGCGCTGAGGCCGCCCATCTTATTATTTGTGTGTATCTGTTTGTCAGGGACTTACGGGGGGTCAAAAATAGGGTCAAAAGGGAAGTCGTAAGAAATTTTGGCTTCAAAGGGGATATCGTTTTCAAAATTTTGAAATGCCACCTCCTGCCGGGCCCTGCGCATAGATAGAGGAACGGAAACTAGAAAGCACAGAATTTCTAGAAGAGAAAAAGAAAAGGCTATGATTTGCATCCAAGATCATTCAAATATCATTCATAGATATCATTTATATGAATTAATGACATTACTCTTTTTTAATAGTGATCATGCTTTAAGTTCATTCATTAAGGTCCATTGATTAAAAGTCAAAGATGTTTTGTTCCTCTTTTGAGTAGCGAGAAGAGATCTTTTTGATAGGGTTTCAAATTCACTTAATAGTCCTTTTTTCAGCAATGGAATAATCGAAAAAAAGAAATGATCTGAATTTTGATTTTGGCCAATTAGGGCAGCATTTTAATAATTGTTACATTATCAAGCGATCAAAGTTGATCTACGAAAAAATGCTTTCGAAATGGAGTTACCTACGCAATTCAATGAGCACACGGAACTTTCCAATCAAAACATTGCGTAAGCTGTTGATTCACCTTACCTCTTCAATTTCAGTCTACATATAGTATTAACCTTGTATGTTTCTTGAAGGCTTTGACGACAGAGCCGTGAGAGCGGCGAAACTATCCTGAGCCAAATCTCGATTGTTATTGAAACACTTCCGGTTAGTTGCTCGAGTAGCTCATCTTGTGCTGAATGGTAAAATACTTTGTTTTTTTTTGTTTGGTTTACTCTGTAGGAAATGAGCTACATTTATCCTAAGAAAACTTCACAAACATTCCGGCATGATTTTCAGCTGTAGACAGAAAATGAAACAAAAATGAAAAAAGAAACTGAAGATAATTTATTGCCTTCAATACAATAGATGAAGCAGAAATCCTCGCAGGCTGAGCTACCTTGTATACAGAAAACGGAACAGAAATCTGTCCTGAAGTGACTCTTGGTTTATATGAAGAAAATGGAACGGGAATTATTTCTTAATTGCAGTCAGATATGGTTTGAACTTACATACAGAATACGAAACAGAAATTATTTTCGCAATAACGGTAATTTTCCCATGTACTCAGTTTTATGCATTTTGAGCCTGTAAATTTCACACTTTTGATTTTTGTGTTTTCTTTTCAGGTGAAAGGAAATCGAAAAGGTTCACAATTTCTCAAAAATGTATTGATTGATCGCACTATTAGCTTAATTTTTGACAGAATCTCAAGAAAAGTTCCATTGTTTTAGCAAAAACATAAAATGAAATTAATGAATACTCACTGTGCTGGGCAAATGTGAAAATAATTTATTTGAAAACTTTTTTTGCCACACACGTCGCTGCACCCGAAGCTACTGTAGACTTTGCAAGGTCAACGTGAAGAATGACGTAGGGTTCAATCGCTAGTTCAAGGTTAAAATTGGCACGGTTCCAGCAAATTTTCGTCATTAGATTCGCTCGGGAATGTGTACGGGATCATCCCATAGGGTGCACTGAGACTCTAGGGAGATTGAGCAACACGTTTGATGCTTGAGTCTCGCACTTGGGCATCGCGAAGTGCACCGTAGTGTATGTTGTTTTTCTTCTCCTTTCCCAGCTAAGTAGAAGAATGATGAACGGTCAGGGGGGGGGGGGGAGGGGGAGGCAAGTAATTCACTGTTTGACGTTGTTTGGAAATACTTATAGGCTTTAGGGTGTGGTTGATGCTAATTCTAGCTTATAGAACATCATTCGGCGCAAACTCACAATGGTAGCAAGCTGTCTGTGACGTCTCTACACAGACAAATCAACGAATCATTCGAGTGGGGGCAAATCACATCATCTACGGGTGGGGGTTTAACAGTTTTGGCTTCTTTTCACAAGGGGGGGGGTGGAAGACGGGGAAAGATACTGAAGGTGGCTAAAGGAGGGAAAGTACGCGGGTTTCAGTGTTTATGCTCGCATTCGTATTAACATGAGTTATTGATTTTACAGAAATTTTCCTTTTTCACGCTCTCTACATAGACCAAAGATCATTCTGCAAAAATTTTTCCGTTTCAGTTTCGGCATATAAGTCGATACATGAGAACAAGGAAATAGAGGAGTTGTTCCCAACATATGATGCTGCAATAGCATTTACAACAGTGAATATTTTCAAAATGACACGACAATGATCTTTTTCCAATGAATCTTCAACCACTAATGACATTTTTTTTGCAATCATGAAGATTAATCATCTGCGCGAAAAAATTACACATACACACGAGAATTTCACAAAGAGGAAAAAAACGTTCAGCCGGTGCACGATTGAAAAGCATTTTTTTCGTTTCTATGATTTTTTTACTGAAAGTCTCTCAAACAGAGAGAAAATTCCAAAGATGATGTGATTGAATTTTTTCATGCACATTTTATAATTGATCATAGCGAAATGACGGGTCTATTATCATACCAATACTCCCTCAACTTACTCCCTCATTTATAAAACAGACAGAAAATAGAATGATGATGTTTGGAGAGTATAATTTCTTAGGAAATCACATCATTGGAATGTTACAAACATTGGACTTATTTCGTTCATCCAATTATTTGTCTGTCCGATGTTTTGAAAGGTAAGCTATATAGTTCTTTATATGGTCAGCTGTTTTACCCGTGCAAGACAACCTTGAACATGCAAAACTTCAGTGACAGATGTTATTTTGATTTTGTGATCTTTGTGAAGTGATCTTTGAAATCGTATCACTTGCGCCAGTCATAGTACTAGTACTCAGATGTGGAGTTTGCAGAGACCTTGTAGCCAAAAGTAAAAAACCAAAGACCTGGTCAGAAGTTCTGATTACCTCATCCCACTATAGGAA